CACACTAATAAACCAGTTCTAAAGGAGTATACATATAATTTAAAGACTTTTATTTTATACTATTGATACTGTTAATAACTGCTGCTCCAACAATAGAAAATATAGTGACTAGTGCAGGAGAATCCACCTCATACACTACAATAATGTAACTCAAGCAGCCAGTGTTGTAGAAACATAATCAGACTACACAATCCCATCATTCTACTGTCATAAATAAAGCCAAGACATTTTGTTAATCATGTTAACATCATGCTATTTAAGCTCAGGCCAGTGCAATTCCTGCCTGACCCAAATCCTCACTTATGAGGATGACCATTAGCTTATGAGCTGCTGAATGCTTTAATTGTATTAGCTCAGTATGGAAAACCTGTATGAATTAGCATGCTTCATGCAAATTATATTCATACAAGGCCATTCATGGATTTGCAAATGAAATGTAAATAATGCACCAGTGAGCAGGCGTTTGTTTCCACACTCTGAAGCGACTCTACTGCACTCAAATCTTCAGTTGTTTTAACACCATACTATTCACGCATCATTTAACTTTATTTTATCTCCAGCTGCCATGAAATGCTGACATGCACCACTGTTACCATGGTGCTAACATATCATTAGAATCCTCATAGCAGAGCAAGTGAAATGAGCATTTAGTCAGTGGTGTAAACTAAATGAAGAAAGACTACTTAAAAAGTTATTGAACTGCATTAAACATTGCTAAGTAATGGTGTGACTGGCACATGGCTGTATCTGGGCCTCAGTGTGAAATGAAAAAGATGAAGTAAGTGGAATATCTCATCACAAACATGACAGTATAGCTAAACACTACATAATGGATGGACTGTCCAGTGGACGTTTCTGAAAGTACATCCTTTACCTGCACTTCTACCAGAAAGGAGTCTGATCATACAGATACAGATGACAAATTAAAAAAACAAAAACACTGGAGAAATTTGCATACAATCATTTTACGATTTGACCATACACAACTATATATGTTGCAGTTTTACAGGAAAGATTTAAACTGAAAATTGAATATTATTACTCAGTTATTATTTAATATTTTTGAAGGAGCCTAGTAACCTGTTGGCTATCTGCTTTGTTACCTACCTTACAGTCCTTACTGCAGTCAGAACTGAACCATCTGTTTTTGGCTTCAGGAAATGTCTTGATTACAAGCAAACTTACAGAATTGTGCAACATAAGCAGAACACAGAACTACGGAAGCCCTCAAGAGTAAAATGGTTAAAAAAAAACAGAAAACGTGTCCACATTATTTCTTTTTTCTGCCTGTATAGCACTAGGGGATGAGGGTAAAAATAAAAATTGTTTTGAGTGTAAAAAAATTATTTTGAGTGTACGTTTTGTAATTTGTATGCAGGTTTACATTTATTTGTGGGTACGTTTTCTTTATTCAGTCTCACGTTTAACATTGTAGCATAACATTGTATTCATCTTACAACTGATTTGACACAAACAGAAACCAGGAACTGTCTTTAATCATGTGGAATTAATGGACCAAATTGAACAAATCCATGTGATGGCTAGAGTGCAATAAGAAGTCAGGAAACAAACCTGTTTTCTTCTAACTGTGTTCATATAACCTACATAATAAATAACTTCACTGACAAACAACACATTATTTTAACTGTATTTGTATTGATTCCAATGTTATATACCAAACCAAATACACTCAATTCTAAAGTGGCATACCTTGAGTGCATCAACTCATTTGAGACATAACATGCAAATTACATTGTCATTTTTCATGAATTGAAAGTCATTTTTGTATAGTGGGAGGCCCATTAACTGGTTTTGGCACTGGGGCAATAAGATCCTAGTTATGCTACTGGTGCTTCTGCACAAAGCCAGTCCTCAGTGAATAACCTAGCCAACTGTAAGGTAAATGTTGGCTATAAATCTATACTTTTATCTATACTTTTGCCATTTAAACTTTAAGGAAAAGTATCAGATGTTTGGAGATTTAACATAATTTTTTATTTTGATTATGTAGCTCACTTTTGAAAATCATTGTATCCACTACAGTGTTTTACTCTGGACAATAACTGTGAAGACAGTAATATTTTCATTTAACTGAGTAATTTTCTGTGTTTAACATTATTTAAATAGGCCTTTATGCAATTTTAGTGCAAAAACATCACACAAAAAATGTAATGACAGGTTTTGTTTAAGAGAGAAACAAAGAGATTCATCAGCACATAACATACTTATTCACACACCACTTTAATTGTCCCAAAAACTAAAAAAATTCACAAGATCTGTATAGCACTGATCAGTAGAAGGCATGGAACAGAGAAAAAGTACATTAAATCCAAATAAATAATTGTCTAGAATAACCTTTGAATAAAAAAATTAAAAGTTGAGTTGAACAAGTTAAAAGCAAACAGTTTAAAACAATATATATTTCAAGCATTTAAAGCAGGTTGATAACTTTTTAAAAGAAGCAAATGATATAAATGAATTAATTAATAATTAATTAATATTCAAAGCTGTATTTCTGTAAGACAGATTATTGATTGAATTTCTAAGTGAAAAGTCTGACTCTAGCTGTATTTTATCTGTCTTGACATTAAGTTTTGTAATCCTGCGTATTACACAGCTCAACAGAAGTGCACTTGGATTCTTGATCACTTTAATATGAAGATCCAACATTAATTCAACGTTTTACTAAAGACCTTTTTCCTGTGAAGTAGCTCCTCCTAGTGATCTAATCCTGTTAGAAACAATAAAGAGTGATTTTCATTATGAACACTGTTCATCACAGACTGCTGTCATGTAAATAAATCACTAGTCATGTGACTGAACAACAATGGTCTTTTATTAAAGAGAGAGCTGTTTAAGCTCAAACTGACCTGACAGATGAAAGGGAGCTCCTCACTGCAACAAGCATCCAGCCATTTGCTTTCCTTGCCAACCAGTTTGCCACAGTATTGACTGGTGGGGTCCACTGGAAAGCTAGAATGCCATTCAGAATAGTTCACGTAGGGTCCACCAGTCCACAGCCAAGGGGCACATGGGAAGAGCATGTTCCTCTCAAGCCCAATCCACACGCCATCTGGATAGAACTTATTCTGCAGCATCTGTGTGACTGTTGAGTTTATGATGTGCACCAAAGTCTTGTGACGATTCTGACAGTGTTGTAGTGCTTATCTGACAGGAGAAATAAGAATTAAACTTTAAAAATTTATTTAGGTTGGCAAATTAAAACCTTTAGATATTACCACAGTAGGCTGTGTGTTTTTCATGAGTCATAGAAGCAGAAATTACAAGGGGCCTATAGTGTCCTTACAGTTGAAGCTGAATTACATATTCATATACTAGTAGTATATACTAGTAGAATATACTATCATTTCATAGAAGTGATTTTGTATACCTAACTCTGTAGATCACATTAACTTACTTAATCCTTCAATTTTGCTGTTTACAATTGTGAAAAGTATGTGAGCACTTTGTATTCTTTACAAATTACTTTATTACTATTACTTTATTAAGTACACCTACATTCTCTGTCCATTTTATCAGCTCCACTTACCATATATTTGCACTCTGTAGTTTTACAATTACAGACCGTAGTCCTTCTGTTACTCTACATACTTTGTTAGCCCCCTTTCAACCTGTTCTTCAGTACTCCCACAGGACCACCACAGAGCAGGTGTAATTTGGATGGTGGATCATACTCAGCACTGCAGTGACACTGACATAGTGGTTTGCGACTATGAGTGGATCAGGCACAGCAGTGCTGCTGTAGTTTTTTCAAACTGTGTCCACTCGCTGTCCACTCTATTAGACACTCCTACCTTGTTGGTCCACCTTGTAGATGTAAAGTCAGAGACAGTAGCTCATCTGTTACTGCACAGTTTGTGCTTGACATCCTCTAGTCCTTCATCAGTGGTCACAGGATGCTGTTTGTTAGGCTACCTCTCCTATTAAAACTATCTAGGATGTCCAGAAGACCTAGGGTGATTTTTTCTCAGACTCTTTAGAAATCAAAACTTGATTGGGTGATTCCTCTTCCTCTTCTCTGAAAGTCTAGAAGGCCCTGAAGGTGCTCCACTGCACTTCAGGAGTGGGCATTCTACAAAATCCAGTGCTCAGGTGTACTGAAGAATTCTCAAATGGCAAGGAACCCTAGAATAACAGCTGAGAAGCTGCTTGCACCTCTTGCAAAATGTATGTTCATGAGTTTTCCATAATAAGGAAGGCAAGATGTCTACATGTTCTGTAATGTGTAGACACTGTATAGCAACACAAAAAAAAACACATTTGACTTTATGCATTAAGAGTTTAGAATGGTTGAGAGAGTATAATCATGTGGAACTGCTATGCAAACTTCAGTCAGTAGAATTGATTCCAAGTTGTATCAGGAAATTATACAGCAGAGTGCCAGGATATCTGGGATCAGAAACTCAAAAGAGGCTAGATTACACAACATGACAAATTTATTTAAAACATGGATCTTCAAATCAATCAAAATACAGGAGGTCTTGGGGGGTCAGCGAGCCCCTGATTAACCCCTTGGACCACTGCATGTCTCAAAATCAAAATTCTGGAAGGTCCTTGAAAATAAATGTATTCTTAACCAACTAGAGCTGCATCACTAGCCTGCCTCAGGGTGGTTGGTTCACACTGTCGGTCCGTCACAGCCTAGGAACTGTAACTATGCCCAGGATACCTCTGTAAAACCTTACAGTAAGCTGTAACATATTTGTAGATCCACTATAGTGAGTGAGCAGCCAGCCAATGCTGGATCAACAAGCCAACATGGCATTTCACTCTACATACAACCCGTAGCAGGGGTTCCCTCATCTTATCCACAAAGGGTAGGTGTGGTTATGAATAGCAATCTCCTCCTTGATCACTACCTCAGCTCTCCTCTCTCTGTTTTACTCAAACTCCAACAGAAAGGAGCCAAACTACTTTTGCTATACTCTATAATATGTGCGCACAACAAAAAAACATGGGGGAACAGGCGAATTAAAAAACACTAGAAGTGTTAAATTAAATAAGTAAAATAAACCTAGATTGGCTTGTTTTGAAACATGATTTCCAAAAAACAATCAAAAATATCTGATGGAAAAGTACAAATTATTACTGAATCACATCATATTCAGACCACAAATTGAACTATAAAATAATGCAAAAAGACTCTTCTTTCAGCACTTCAGCGCTGACTCACATGAAGGTATGTTAGAGAGAGTAGTTCCACTGGAGGCTGAACTGGTGGGCTGTGTCACTTTGGTGGTCTTGCTGGAACTGGTGGACTGTGTAGTAAGGGCTGGAGTCGCTGTGGAAACACAGGATTAAAGACACTGGGTTTAAGTCATTTCAGTCTTTTCTGTAAAATTAAGAGATAAAACTGCACTGAAATATGAGTCGTTTAACATATGAGCTCACCTGTGTAGCAGAGGAACCATTTTTTTTTTTTGAAAAATCTTCAGGAGTCAATTTTTTATCTCCAGACAGTTTAGTGCAGTTCTTCATGGAGGAGAAATCATTAGTAGCCCAGTTCTGAAATGGTTCCTCACTGGACCACTTCCACACATCATTATCTCTCTTCAGTCCAATCCAGATGTTTGTGTTATTTGGAGCAATTTTATCAAACTCTTCTTGATCTTGTTTATTGGTGACACTTGCTAGTTCACCATTCTGTTCATTACAGGCTTTTTGAGCACTGTCCCATGTTTCAGTCACTTTGTTAGGTGTGTATGTCTTTCTCATTATCCCAACCATGTTTGTCACTACAAAACATAGAACCATGCTTCAGTACAACTGAAATTTTCATTTCTTTTTTAGGGAATTCATTTTATGAAGGAATGTATATAGCATTATCTCTGCATTATTAAATCAAATAGTATCGTTGTTCAATGTTAATGCTAAAATCATTTTCTCAGAACGCAGCTTAATTATGATATTACCTTTCTGACACATATATGCAGCCAATGGGCCTAAACAGTTTTCTGTCCACCATTTTCCTGAGACTGAGTAAACACAATCATGTCCAGATGATGTGTCCCAGCCTGCAGCCCAGTTAAAGTACATGAAGTCCTCTCCATTTGACCACTTCAACTTTGGATCTTTATGAAGTCCAATCCACACTTCATTTGGTAATGAATTTAGAGCCGCTAATGCTTTTTGCCAGTCTCCCTGATTATAGATAATGGCCAGGTCTTTGTAGTGTCGCTCACAGTGCCTCTTAGCATCTGCCCAATTGTTTGTCTTCTTCATAAGATAGTAGGTCTTGTCTGAATATGAATCTGATGAAAAATAGAAGAATTCAGATCATAATATATATATATATATATATATATATATATATATATAATTCTTCCATCATAGAATATTGTATAGCATTATTCTGAAATTTACATGTTGAGAAAAAAATGACTTTTTTAGTTTTTATATTCTCATTCATTTAAATTTCAAAAAGGGCACATAACTGAGTTAATGTAATGTATTACTACATATAACACACACACACACACACATTTCCTAAGCCGCGTATCCTTCTGTGTCGCAGGGGCTGCTGGAGCCTATCCCAGCCGTCATTGGGCAGAAGGCAGGAAAACACCCTGGACAGGTCGCCAGTCCATCGCAGGGCAGGGTGAGGAGTTGGTAGGGGATTTTTCTGGACTGCTAACTGGATTTGTTTGAAAGTTTGTTTGTTTGATTAATATGTTTCTTATAAATATGAATTACATTTATTTCATTTCATCATTCCCACTTTCTTAAAATGAATGCTTATAGGTTCTGCCAGCTTGCATTAAAATGAGGGACCTGGTAACGTCATTAAGAGGGAGGTTAAAATTTAAGGAGATTCTTAACATATTATTCAGTAACTACATGTACACAAAGCTTTTATGGCATATTCATGAACAGTACACTAACTCTTCTAAACAGATGTATAATTATTTGTAACATTTATTATATATGTTTGTTAATGAATAAAAAGTAAATTATAAAATTTCAATATATGGAAAGCAAATTTTGTAATAATTAATTCAAATTTTGAAAAAATAAATGCATAATAATATTCAATATTTAAAATTTCCACTTTCAGGGAACAGATATGAGTCTAAGCAGGTGGTATTTGAAAGATCTCCATACTGTGTTCATTAATGCTCCCTAAATACATGAACCTGTGCATAGGTTTCATAAACTATTCACTAATATTTCATAAGTAGATCATTTTTGTATAATAATAAATGTAATTAGATTATCCATTGAACATGTTTGCCTGTGCATTTAGTATCTTATGCTTTTTATTCCATAAACACATTTGAATCAATGAGATGATGAATGAAGTTTAAACTGAATGTTTTTAATGAATGGTTCAAAATGATTATGTAACTGTAAGACTGTTACTGTACTGTTTATGAATATGAACATACACATTTACACTACATGTACATTAAAGTAGTGACAGTGACATTTGGTGACTGTAATGTTCCTGATGTATGTAGTTACTGTAATGTTCATGTAGTGACTGTAATGTATAGTGACTGTAATTTTCATATAGTTACTGTACTGCAGCATGCACTGCTAAATCACTAATGAATATTATCATCATAGCTGAAGAAAAGATTCAGAAGCACAAATATATAAATAAAGCTAACGTTCTAGATCCATAAATTACCTGGAGATTTAGTCATAACAGAGAACCCAAATCAGTGTATGACACATTTTTTTCCATAATGCAGTACATTTTCTAATGCATTTGTTTCTTTTAATTTATCTGAATTTAGGACTATAATGTACTGTTTTTTAACCAAATGGATATTATAATGTAATGTCCGATTGGTTAAAAAGAAAATGTAATTGTTAAATCCCCGCAACCCAGAAGGACAATCAGCTTAGAGAATGTGTGTGTGTGTGTGTGTGTGTGTGTGTGTGTGTGTGTGTGTGTGTGTGCGTAATTGTTAGATTATGCATATTGAGAATAAGACATTGTAAATGTATCTTCTTATATATCTTATGTGTAACTGAATGAAGTAATTATTTATTTATTGATTGTGACTGAATATTCTTTTGTTACATCAGTAAAAGAAAAGCAAAAGTGCTGTGAAGCAAAGTAAAATCTCTAATCTGTAATAATTAATCAGTAAATTATTCTGAAACTGACCTGAAAAGACTGGACTGAATGTGATTTCTGTTGTGATGGTATGTGATATGTTGCTGTTGTTTCTGTTACAGAATAAAAACAAATGATCGTAAACAAAAAATAAAATACAAATACAGCTGAACTTTTAGAGACATAATTTACCTTGAATCTTGTTTGTGTCTAACTGAGCTCCACCTGCTGAATAGAAGAGATGCAGAATCAGGATGTGATGGAACTAAATGCAGATCTCTCAAATCTGAAATTTGCATTTTCTGACTTTAACACTCAAATGAGAAAAAATAAAGCTACAAATCAAATAATTTGTATTCATTAATTAACATATTTATGGGAAGATGGGAAGACTTTTTATTCAGTAACTACTGGGACATTGATGCAAAAGAATATCTGAGCTATTCTTAGGTTAAATAAGTATGGGATACAACTTTGTGCCCTGGCTATTTAAGGAGTTAATGTAATATTCATCAATGTAGACTCCAGCAATGTTTATTTAATCTAAGTCTTTTCTTCTCCAGCAATACCAAAAATATACATACATACACACTGCAGCTGTTTGTTTTCCCAGTTTTCCAATATAACATCTCAAATACTCGGCTGTGTGTCAAAACAGGTCTGAGCGTTGGTGTTTACGCTTACTTACCTAAACATACAATGAAGTAGAACAGAAGGGCTACAAAAAATAAAAAGAAAATTAATTTATAGCTTTACTTATTCATTTGACAGCCATTTACAAATCAGACACATTCTGCTAATAAATGTTTATTACAAACCTGAAATGTCATTAACAGACAGTAAATAATTTGTACGTCACTTATTTAAACTGGTGTTTTTAATCCTGACAAACTGTTTAACGTTTCAGTGTTTGCATATTCTCAGATCTTCTGTTGATTTTGTATGATTCATTTTTATTGTCACGCATCCTTCAGGCTCTGAGGTCTCTGGGGACTCCATTTCCCAGAACCCCCAGGGGAATCACATGATTCTCAGCCCTCCATCTCGCTCCAATCACCGCTCTCTGTCACCGGAGTATTAACTGATTTCACCTGTTCTCATATAATTAGTTTAGTATAAAGCCCGGGCTTTTAGTCTAGTTCCTTGCGAGGTATTGCTTCTTTTCCCAAGAGCTACTGAGCATTATATTCTTCTGTCTATTGTGATTTTTCCGGTTTTCGACTCTGTTTGCTGTTTTTGACTTTTGCCCTTTTGCCTTTGCCCTTTGGACTTTGTTTGCCTTATGTTTGTCTTTTTGTGTTGCTTGCCTTTGCTGGATTTGACCTTCGCCTGCTTTTGGACCACGATATTTGATTACAACTGAAACATTAAAGCCTCACTCTCTTTTTTTAACCGCAAGCGTCTGAGTTATTCTGCCGCGTTACATTTATCTATATCTAAGGGTGAACTTCATCGATTTTGCAAAATTAGCTTCTTAGTTACCTTCTGGTTTCTCCCTTTTAGTAAACGGCTGTAATAACTAGACCTGCTGGAGTCTCTGCTGCTCTGTTAATACTGTGATCGGTGATCAGTCACCCTTTACAGAACTAACTCTCTGTGTGTTTTCCTTTCTTTGCTGAGTTGAACAGCTGCCCATCCTGTGCGTCTGATGCTGTAGCTTCTTCTGCCTTGATCGGGTGCCCACTGCTCACCAGCCTCCTGGACCAGCTTGACCACCATCGAGCTTCATGCTGTACAACGCTGTGTAATCCTCACCCTCATGAACTGACGATGCTGCTGCTGCCGCTGCATAATCTAAAACTAATCAAATTAACCATTGCTCCACCTGTTTCCCCCATTTTGTACTACAATACTTTATACCAACAATGTCTGCTGTCCGGTGTCGACCAGAGGAGGATGGGTTCCCCTTCTGAGTCTTTGTTCCTCTCAAGGTTTCTTCCTCCTGCTCTTAGGGAGTTTTTCCTTGCCACTGTCGCCACTGGCGACGCTCATGGGGGCTTGGACCCGGATTTTTCTCTAAAGCTGCTTTGTGACAACACCTGTTGTAAAAAACGCTATATAAATAAACTTTGCTTGCTTGCTACTTCAAGGATGAAGAAGAGAGAGCCAAAAGGCAAAAAGAGAGAGTGAGACTGAACCTGCCGGCAACCCAGCGTGAATGAAAAGTGGTGGTGTCAACAACAAACGACTACTCTGCTTACCAGTTCATGGGGTCGGACAGCAAGGTAGTTATTTTATTGCGTGGACCACTTTAGACAGTCTGTAAGCTAACAGCTAACAATGATATATGGACAGTGGCTAACGACGACAAATTTATTTCATTCGCAGACGTTTCTGCCCTTGATTCCAGTTTCTGTGATGGAAAAATACAACAGAGAGAACAGCAGTTTTCTTTAGCAGCCAGCATCTGAAGAAATCCGCTGTGCATTTTATCACTGATCTTGAGTAAGTTAGTCTTTGCTGGTGGTCACTATAAACCCCAAATTTGTATAATTGTTCAACTTTGGTATTTGCGTTAGAACAATTAGCCACGACAACCGAAATCACCATCATTCTCAACCATTGATCAGCGAGGTGCAACTGTGATCTATCACAGCTCCTCTGTGTTAACAGAAGTTACTCACATAAGCTATGAGTATTTCTGAAACTGTGCGACGCAACGCTGCCAACCCAAACAGCAGAAAACGTGTGCAGGGCGGAGAGGTAAATGCAAGGCATCGTAAGGAAAAAACCGTACCCAAAGAAAACATTCTAAAAATTTAAAGTTCACTTGTCATTTTGGATAGCAGATAAAACAGTGATATTTGTAGTGCAAACCTAATGGCATCTGGTTTCTAGTACTACAGTGGTGAACAATTCTGACTCGGGCGCATTTCACACCATAACAATCAATGATTTTCTTTACATCCAAACCATTATATGATTAAGTAATTTTGCAAAATCAGTGGAGTTCCCCTTACGGTTTAGTGTACTGTTTAGTGATTCACACTGTTATTTATTATTTAGACTAGTGATGTTGAAGTTAACATATTAATAACATATTAATAACATTTTAACACAATAAATGTTTAACACGCAAATGTTTTAACACCACTAAGCATTTTCTAGTTTGACTCTTCAGTTCACCCATAGATCTACTCTGCAGCTGTATGTTGCTGTAACTCTGTGACTGTAGCCCTCACAGATAGATACAGCTTTTAAATGGCAAGTTCCATTGATTGTTTTCTTGAAAAAAACTTTTGTTTTATCAGTTGTCAGGAACTTAAAACTATTATACACAAACTAAGCTCTGCTGCATGTGATCTGTTCCTACATCATTTTTTTAAGATGACTAAGGTAGCCGCCTCAGCCTTGTAAGATTCATGGACACTTGATCAGTGGCTTACAGAATCTAATCGTCTCAGTTATCGCATTGTAGTGCTGCCTAGTGCCAAAACATGTCACCAACAGACTCTGTCCCTATGCTGAGAGTAACCAAAACCTCTATGACCCATTCTTTGTACAGAAATGTTTCAACAGGATAAAAAGAAGCAATTTCACCTTCATAAGAAAATCCTGTTTGTAAGACTGCCTTGGTAAAGCCTGTATTAAAATAGAGCAGCACCATATTTGGTCATTTTAGATCAATTTCAAACCTTCCATTTTAAGTAAAATCTTTGAGTAAAATCATTGAATTGTTTTCAAACAACTGAAGACATACATGGTATCTAATGTACTAGACAAATTCTAGAAAAATAATGGTTATATTTGTTGTTCACTGTTTTGTCTTCACAGATCCAAGCTTTAACTTCTTACTAAGCAGACTAAATATGCTTACACCATAAATTATAAACAATCCTCGATTATTGTGTCAAAAAATATCCCACTGTAAGGGCCTGAGCTGTTGGAATGCCCTGTGTTCACTGATTGTACGTTTGATTTGTTTAAGTCACAAAAAGGTGGACATTTTAGTTACATTTCTAAATTCTTTTCAGTTTTGTAGAAACTATATGACTAAAACTAAAGCCATTCGTCCATGCTTGGTCCTAAATCACGCTGGACTAGAGTAGCACTGACGAATACTCAAACACTTTCACATGAGTTACAAATGCAGCTTTTATTCAATCCATTTGGAACATCTTTTGAAAGGTTTCTTTACATAAAACAAGATGTGACAGCCTAACATTTAATAGCAGTTTGTCACTAGACTCCTGTTTGACTAATTCACTAGTCAGATATTTTCAGTCTGAAACTGTCTTACCTGACATCATCTCCGCTGTGATTCACTCCTGTTGTGTAAGAGAACGTTTGAAACCCCAGAATTCTTTCACTGATAATATTCTTCCCTATGTGGTGCTGACACTCATCAAACTACACCCTGAACACAGTTATATCAATGCAATCTGCCCTCCCATTTACTGTACACAGAGACAGTACTATGCAAATTGTTATTAGAGGAAAACACACTGCCTTTATTATTCAGCTCAATGTTCTATAGATAAATGAAGTGCCTAAATAATGGAAGCACCAGAGTAGATCAGTAACAAGAAACAAAGAATATATGAGAAAGTAGAAAAGAAGGTGTTAGTGCTCAAAAACAAACGTTTTTATGTCCAACACTTAAAAGATATCAATTGTCACTGTGACACAAAAACCTTGTTCCTCCATTTTTGTCACATTCATGTTCGTGATGAATGGACCAACAGAAATCTTGTTCTATTAACTTCCAGTAACTTCCAGTAAAGGATGATTTTTCCTTCTCCTGTAAAGTTACCATTTGGAGATATGAGGTTTTGTTCCAGCAGTGATGATATACAAGTTTATCTAACATTTACAAGCATCCTTGTAGGCCATCAGGATTGATATTCGTTAATACTATAGTTTGAAATAAATAGGAACATAATTATGCAAGTATCGATTAGAACCAGACTTTACTGTACAGTAAACTGCGCTTTGCAGATAAAAATCACACATGATACAATGGCCCTCATTCAAGCTGATGAACATCAATAGTGAATTCTCCTGTACTGCTCTGACATTTAATTCATCAAAACAAAATTAGTTGTAGAAAATTGATTAATGTCCAGCTTTTAACATCCTCCAAACACTCACAGAGACACTTCAATGAGCACAGGTTTTTGGGCTGTAGAGGATTTTAGGATAGTAACTACAAGTAACACAGAGCTACACCATGTCCCTGATGCACCCAGTAATACAATATTATATATACAGTGGCATGCAAAAGTTTGGGCACCCCTAGTCAGCATTTCTGCTACTGTTCTTTTGCTATGAATAGCTGTGCAATTAAAAGATGACCTAATTTCCAAAAGGCATAAAGCTAAAAATGACACCTTTCCTTAGTACTCTAAGCAAGATTACTTTATTATTTCCATCTTTTACAGTTTCCAGAAAAGGAAAATCGTTTGGACCCTGTGCATGGTCAGTGCTTAGCAACACCCCCTATGGCAAGTATCACAGCTTGTAAATGATTTTTATAGCCAGCCAAGAGTCTTTCAGTTCTTGTTTTGGATTTTCACCAATTCATCCTTGCAAAAATGTCTAGTACTGTGAGATTCTTGGGCCATTGTTTAGGTCGGGGGACTATGAGGGCCATTGCAAAACCTCCAGCTGTGCTTCCTGAGGATCAAACGTTGTGGATTTTGAGGTGTGTTTAGGATCATTATCTTGTTGCAGAAGTCATCCTCTTTTCATCTTCAGCTACAGATGGTGTACTGTTTGCTTCCAGAATGTGCTGGTATTTAATCGAATCCATTCTTCACTCTACCAGTGAAATGTTCCCCATGCCACTGGCTGCAAGGCCAAAAGCATGATTGATCCACCCCTTCGCTTAACAGTGGGAGAAGTGTTCTTCAGAGGGGTGTTCTGCACCCCTTTTTTTGCCAAAAAGTTTAATTTTAACTTCATCACTCCATAGAAGTTGTTTTCAAAATGCATCAGGCTTGTTTAGATGTTCCTTTGCAAACATCTGATGCAGAATTTTGTGGTGAGGTTGCAGGAAAGGTTTTCATCTGGTGATTTTTCCATGAAGGTTATATTTGTGCAGGTGTCACTGCACAGTGGAACAGTGCATCATCACACCATCAGGTCTTTTGCAGTCAAACAGAGGTTTTAATTCACCTTTCTAGCAATCCTGTGACGAGTTCTCTCTGAAAGTTTTCTTAGTCTTCCAGACCTTCCTTGACCTCCACCATTACTGTTTACTTCCATTTCTTAATTACATTACGAACTGAGGAAACGGCTACCTGACAAATTTTGTTATCTTCTTATAGCCTTCTCCTGCTCTGTGGGGATCAGTTATTTTAATTTTCAGCCCATGGCTGCTGCTTGTGGGACAAGGTTTGAAAAGTCAAAGTACTTATAAAGCTTTGAAATTTGCATCTTGCAGACTTTCCTAATGATGATTGTGAACAAGCCATAGCCCTAACAAGCTAATTAAGGTCTGAGACCTTGGTAAAAGTTATCTTAGAGTTCAAATCTCTTGCCCAAATTCTTGCATGGTATGCCTTTCTTTTTTCCACTCTGCAATTGTATAAAACAAAAATAATTGTATTCTACTCACTTATCTATTCAGAATTTTGACAGGTGTCCAAACTTTTGCATGCCACTGTAGATTTTGGCCACATAGTTCATCAAAGACATTATGTTAAGAGTAAAGTAAACAGGCTGATTGTTGAAATGATTGTTGGAACTGAGAACCAGATTATTAATACCTGCACCCACCCGCTTTAACCACTAATCACATCCACAAAATCTAGTGTCAATTTTGCCCATTCTTGTACCAATTTTGCCCATGTCTGACTGCTTCAACCGCACGTCATGCCCACCCACACACACCTATTTTTGGGCTATGCATGTGGTCCTTGTCAACTCCAGCCTGTGTTTGCTGTAATCCACTCCACTGGTGTAGGACGTGTCCATACAAACCTCATGACAGGCCAGAGCCTCCAGACCCATCACACCTCCACACACCCAGCAGCACAAATAAACATTTCAATATTGCAAAAGAAAAGTATATATATTGTGTATTTAAAAATAATCAAAGCGACATGAACACATATGCCACCACAATGGGCGTCATGTCACATGACGTCACTGTTGCCAGACAAGCAGGCAGCAGCACAGGCAAAAAAAAAAAACAAAAACAGTGGAGCAGTTTGGCTTCACTACTAACATTATTTTTATCTGTGTCAGCAATCTGTGTTATTATTAGCTAATTACTCTATAAGACGTCTATAGGCAGTTGAAGACAACTGAAATTTAAAGCCAAAACAGAGACTGAGGCTGCGGCACAGGTGAAAAAGCCAAAATAATTGTCATGGAAAACAATTAGTTTGATTTTGTGCATAGATATTTACTGGATGCTATATAGCTTCATGTGTTTTGCTGCTTGTGATTGCTAATGTGTTTTTCTCTGCAGCACACTTGCAGCTCACTTGTTCCTTGCCTGTTTGCTTCTACAAGCAGCCAGTAACTGTCCAAGCCCACTCCCTCCACCATGATACCTGCAACCTATTGGATTTTTACCCACAATGATCGCAGTACCTCAAAATAAATCAGCAGATCATGTGGGACCCGCAGGTCAACCTGCCTTGTGCAGACCTCTAGAGTGAACTCTCACATTTGTCTTTTTAACACATTGTTCTTTTGGAAACTAAAAAACAGTTCTTCTATGGCATTGCTCAAAGAACCCTTTATGGCACCCTTATTTTTAATAGTGTTGGTTTCAACATCTCTGGTTTCAGACAGAATCTTAGCACAAGAGTAGCTTTAGACCCACTAGGGGTTACAAACTGTGGTCCTGGAGGCCACATTTTGAAGATTTTACTGCTCTTGACACACCAACTAACCTCCAATTAACTCCTGAGTTGAATTAAGTTTGTTTGTGTAAGAAAATCATCAGACTGTAGTTTGGAGGAGCCAGCACAGAAGCCTCATAGGGAACCAGCTCAGAAAGAGCAGCAGCTTGGGTGGTCAGCTTAGGGTGGCATGATGGGGCAGGTGTCAATGGGCCACTGCTCTCTGGAGCACTGGGCGGAGCTTTAAGACCAGGCGCGGACAAGCCAGTGCTTTCACTCGCATTCTGTGGAGCTCTCGTGACACTGTGGAACTCTCCTCTGCCACCAGAGACTCAGCCAAACTTCTGTAAAGTCAGAGGCATGTATGGCAGCTGCAAGTGTGAAATGGCTTTATTTGAGTCAGCCCAATACTCATTGTCATAACAGGCAGGGGTCAAAACACAGTCAGGTATCATCAGATGCCGATCCATATTCAAAAACCAGAAAGACAAATGGGATAAAAAATGAAGCAGGTAGAAAACAACACAAAGAAAATGGTTTCAGAACTCAGGTTAGCAACACAGACACTTAGCAAAAGCCAATATTTTTAAAAAGGGAGTAATAAGTCCTGGTATCACATGCAGGTAGAGTGGGTGGAGCTAGGGAGAGTCTAAGTGTGGTCAAGAGGGAGCAGATTTCATGACAGCCATTTAAGCTATGACCAGGGCAATTCCTGCCTGGCCCAAATCCTCACCTATGAGGATAACCATCAGCTCATGAGCTGCTGAATGCTTTAATTGTATTGGCTCAGTATGGAAACACCTGTATGAATTGGCATGCTTCATGTAAATTATATTTACACAAGGCTTTGCATAAATGGTTGTTTCCATGGACTGAAGCTAATTCTACTGCACTCAAATCTTCACTTGTTTCAACAACATAAGACATTTTAATTGATCTAACACTGTTCACTCTTTCCAGCCTGGTGAAGGTCTACAATTTTCTTCCTGGTGCCCTTCGACAGCTCTTTGGTCTTGGCCATGGTTGAGTTTGGAGTCTGACTGTTTGAGGCTGTGGACAGGTGTCTTTTATACAGATAACGAGGTCAAACAGGTGCCATTAATACAGGTAACGAGTGGAGGACAGAAGAGCTTCTTAAAGAAGAAGGTACAGGTCTGTGAGAGCCAGAAATCTTGCTTGTTTGTGGGTGACCAAATACTTATTTTCCACCATAATTTACGAAAAAATTCTTTAAAAATCCTACAAAGTGATTTCCTGGATGATTTTTTTCTCATTTTGTCTCTTTATAGTTGAAGTGTACCTATGATAAAAATTACAGACCTCTCTCATCTTTCTAAGTAGGAGGACTTGCACAATCAGTGGCTGACTAAATACTTTTTTGCCCCACTGTAGCTTATACATCAGTCACGATGGTCACAACACCTGAATTAAGGACTCTTATGATCCCAGGAAAAAGTCACTGCACTGTCCATATCAATGAATAACTATATTCTGAATACAGTTATAAATATAGGATTAAACAGTCCCTCAAGAGGCATAGGAGTTAAAAGGGGTCATTATAACACGAATGAATTAAAACTATGGCAACTGTCACAAATGAGGACATGTCACCAAAATATGCCGGTGTAAGTTTTTGATTTTATTCAATAAACACAGACACTAGGTTGGTAGAAACAGATGAGGAAACATAAGAAATCAAAAACAATCAACTCAAGACCTGAAACAGATCAAGACACAGGTAAATACAAAGGCAGCAAGATGAGCCAGACAAACATGGGCAACAAGATGGAGCTACAGAAAAGAAAATCACAGGTGACTGTGATAGACACAATATTCTAGAAAACTGTGGAGGATCTTGTGACAATCAAATGCTTAATTGACAAATTAATTCCTGATCAATTCAGACATTGAAGAAAGCATTTATTACCTTCATCTTCATTCAATACACTGTAAAAGTGGCTCATCAGATCAATCTAAAAAAATTGTTTCATGTAGTAACAAGTAATTAAACTAGTTTCATTCAACTCAGAACATTACTTTGATTGAAATCGCTCATTCAAAGTATTTATTTAGGTTGAATGAAACTAGTTAATTTACTTATGATGATAATTTGCTCCAGAATTATTACTTATAATAGACATGTGAGAACTAAGACATTGCAGATTCATACTGAAATAAACGGATCATCAAATCATCAATCAAAATTATAGCACCTCCCCAGGTAAAACTAATCCAGCTGGAATAGGGCTCATGTTAAAAAAATTAATAAACAGAAATCATGCACTGAAATTTGCAGGAAGAAATGATTTGTTCAACAAAACACAACATTTGGGTTCAGAATTTTGCCTATGACTGTATTTGTGTGTGTGCATGTATTTGTATTGCCTGTAATTTGTAATGACAGTTTAGCATGGATAACAGTGATGAAGCAGAAAAATGAATCAGTTCAGTTAAACAGATGATTTTTTTCATTATAATAGTGCACCTCATCTCAACAAGCTACATACCAAATGATTTCGTGGGGGAGTGATTTAATAGGCTCAGTTCATTAATTATGTTAATCAGTAAAGCAATCAGATTTCACTAGAATTCCTTTCAGAGAATTACACACAGTAATAGTGAATTCAAATCAACTTGTCATTTAAACTTTAAGGAAAAAGTATAGATATTTGGAAATTGAACATAATTGTGAATCATTTTTGATAATGTGGACTGTTTGGAAAATCACTACCTACTGTAGTGAAAATTACTGTGGAGACATAACATTTGAGTAATTGTCTGCATGTAAGGTTGAGTAGGCCTGTTTGCAATTAAGGTGCAAAAAATCACACAAACAGTTAATAATGTTTTATATTTGGGTAATTTTAGTTCAAAGTAAAAAGTATATACATTCCAGAGTTTTCATTTTGTTTAACAGTCCTTCACATGAACCCCAACACTCCCATTTAGTTATATTCCAAAAATCAATAGTAGACAGATAAAAACTCTTTAACGTGGACGGAAATACATGTACAGAATTATTGAATAGAATAATTTGAAAACTTGACTTTGAATAAAACAAGTTAAAAAAGAAAACAATGTGCACTTCAAACTTAAATATCAAAGAGGTTTATATTTTTTAAAAAGTAGTTGAAAGATATAAGTTGTAGGAATTTGAGTGTTAAATAATTAATTAATGTTTAGTGTTGTATTTCTGTATGAGTGATAATGGAGTTTCTAAGTGAAAATTTGGCTGTAGCTGTATTTTATTTCTGCAGATTCAACATGAAGATCATCAGAATCAGGTGTAATAAACACTTCATAACAGCTGTTTAGGTCAGACAGCAGAGCTACTTCTGCACTCCAGCTGGATTCTTGATCACTTTAATATGAAGATCCAACATTAATTCAATGTTTCACTAAAGACCTTTTTCCTGTGAAGTAGCTCCTCCTAGTGATCTAATCCTGTTAGAAACAATAAAGAGTGATTTTCAGTATGAACACTGTACATCACAGACTGCTGTCATGTAAATAAATCACTAGTTATGCAAGAGTTATACAAAAACGGTGAATCATTTATTAAAGAGAGAGCTGTTTAAGCTTAAACTGACCTGACAGATGAAAGGGAGCTCCTCACTGCAACAAGCATCCAGCCATTTGCTTTCATTGCCAACCAGTTTGCCACAGTATTGACTGGTGGGGTCCACTGGAAAGCTAGAATTCCATTTAGAATAGTTCACGTAGGGTCCACCAGTCCACATCCATGGGGCACACGTGAAGAGCATGTTCCTCTCAAGCCCAATCCACACGCCATTTGGATAGATATCATTCTGCAGCATCTGTGTGACGAATTCCTGCACTGTAGAGTTTATGATGTGCACTAAAGTCTTGTGATGATTCTGACAGTATTGTAGTGCTGCAATCCACGTTTTATGTTCAGGAATGTAGGCCAAATTATCTGACGGGAAAAATAAGAACCTAATTTCAAAATCTTTATTTTACATTCACCTCTACATATGCAAACAACAAACCCTGAGTCAGTGGAGACCTGAAGGCCCTGCAGAACTAGAAGAAGAGGACTTTTAGGGCTGGTGATAGGGGTGGTATGAGGAGTATACAGAGGCAGCTCAAGGTAAGAATTAGATATTGTAAGAAGGCTTATAGGGCTGAGGTGAAAGAGATGTGGGACGGAATAAGGAAAGTGTCAGGCTATAAATTGCCCTGCAATCAACAGGTTGCAGAGAGCTGGATGTGGGCAAATGAGCTGAACACTTCCTTCGATACTGGGCCATTTGCAAATCCATCACTAGGGATATCACTGCAACACACCCTACTTTTAAGCCTGGCACTGCAGAGGGACATCTTGCATTGTCCCAATACCAAAGATCAAGAACTCCAAGGAATTGAATGACTGCAGACCTGTAGCACTGACATCACATAGAGATGTTACACTGGAGAGTGTAATGTTTTGGAGTCTGTCCAGCTTCAAACTGTAACTCCGACCTGGAGAGTGGAGGGGTTCAGCAATGAGACCCAGGCTCTTGAAACACAAAGTAAACTGAACAAATACAACCAGTGATACACATACATTGGTAGAATTCCAACCAGTCGGTTTATATTATTAGCTGACCACACAAGCCAGGTCTCACGGCTTTACTTGTCCATTCATACATGAATCAAGAAACAGTTCCAAAGCCCCATAATCGCATTACTCACAGAAATAAAAGTAAATAAAAGAAGAACATGGTCCAGTAGTCTGTCATGTTACAACACAAACTTTCTTTTATCTTATCTCATCTTATCCTTGATATTACAGTATTCTTTGTCTGTATTTTTTATATAGAGACACAAATAACATAGGGCCTTATAAGATTAAGTAAAATGATTTTTTGCATCATTTTACTTAATATTATAGCTTTGCTGTTTACAGTTGTGAGAGAAACTACATGAAGACTTGTGGAATTATTTGTATTTCTGAATGGGCTCTAAACTGTGAACTGAGAAACATCTTCATTGAAATCATAATAAATAAAGAGATCTTTCACACACACAAACACACACTGAAATTGCCATTATTGAACAAATTGTTTAAACGATCAAGGTCACTGTTGGAAAAAATATTAAAAGAATTAACAACCTATTAAATCTTCTCTTTAGCAGTGGCAAACCATGACTATTGGAGCTAGGTCCTCGGTTCTGGCCATAAATATCAAAACAAGGAAAATAACTTCAAGATAATACTAATTTCTTAGATTTTTGGCTGTTCTAGATTACACACAGGCTTGTAGAAGACACACTATCATATATTTTACCTTGTAGCAACTTATAGTGACTCAGTGAAGAGCCCCAGCATAGAGCTGAAAGCATTGGTTAGGCTATCACTCCCACTCACAGTCAGTGATGTATGTAGGATGTCCAGAAGGCCAAGAGTGATATATTTTCTCACTAAATTCACAAAACTCACATGAAGTGTTAGAGAGAGTAGTTCCACTGGAGGCTAAACTGGTGGGTTGTATAACTGTGGTCACAGCAGCTGGTGGCCTGGTGAACGGTTGGTCACTACGGACAGTTGGCCAATAGGAGATACCATGGAGAAAAAAAACCTTCTAATTCTGTACATTAGAATGTCCAAGTCAAAGTCCTGGCCTCAGCCCTTAAAACGTGATGACAGCATCTGAATGAAGCCACTAAAGTATGACATCCTACAATAAAGATGAACCGAGACAGTCTTCTGTAAAGAAATAAGGGCAAAATATGAGCAGCTATAAAGCATTTAATTGAGGTTTCTGGATAAAAAGAATAAAGGACGTTCCACTGTCTACTAAATATAAGAATTTTACATATTCTTTATCTTTGGGATCACTACTAATGGAGAGAGCCCTTGTAATGTTGGTTATACCCTCTCAAACTGAACAGCAACTTGAATTTTGTTCAAGAGTAATGATAGAAACCACTTACAATACAGGGTCAATCAAATGAACTCGCATCACTGAAATCTTAGAAGTGAAAACCTAAAATGTAGTGTTAATTGCAATTTAACCCAGCAAATCACATTTCGGTATATCCAAGATGAAGTCACGGAGGGGCTGCACTGTCACCATGACAACTATTCTGGGGTGTGGGGTTTTAGATAACCGAGGACTCCAAGGTCATAGAGAAATTTTGAAGCAATCCAGTATTAAATGATGGACTCTGCGTTTGTCAGGCTTGGACAGAATTCAGACGCTTGCAGACCGCACTTAGGTAAAATGGGTTTATTAACAAAGGGAGTATCCGTAATCAAAGTCAGCCAGTCCAAGGTCAAAAACCAATACACCAAAACAGCAACCATGAGAAGAGTCCAAAAAGCAATGTCCAAGCAATGGAAACAGGGTCAAACCAGAAATCACAACAATACTGAGAGGGCAAGGCAAAAAAAGCAAGGTCGAAGAAAAACAAAGTAAGGCAATACAACAATAAGTTCACACTGAGCTAAGCTAAAGTCCAGGCTTATATACTAAACTAACAGGTAACCATGACAAGGAACAGGTGAGAGTGATCAGAAGTCAGGTGAGGCAGAACAGTGGAAACGGAGGGAAGCGTGACGTCATTCAGATGACTAATAAATTTGAATTGGCAAAAATAATAAGAAATATTATTTATCTCCCCCTTGATTACTCCTCTCTCTGTTTTCTAACCATACTCTTACAGAAAGGAGCAATACTGCTTTAATAGTCACTATATAAACTATAGCAGGGGAGCCCAATCTGATCCACAAAGGGCTGGTGTGGTTGCAGTATTATATTGGCTGTATTATTATAGCAGTAATCTCCTCCTGATCACTACCTCAGCTCTCCTCTCTCTGTTTTACTTAAACCCCAACAGAAAGGAGCCAAACTACTATTGTAAAAAAAAAAAGTACTAAGAAGTAAAATTTATGGCCATTAAAATATAAAACTATGTATCACAATGACATTTTCAGCAAATAAGCCAAATAAACCAAGACTGGTTTGTTTTGAAAAGTACTTCATAGAAAATTACTGTATCATATAATTTTCAGATCATAAATTTGACTATCAAACAGTGCAGAAAGAGTCTGATTTTCTTTCAGTACTTCAGCACTGACTCACATGAAGGTGTGTTAGAGACAGTAGTTCCACTGGAGGCTGAACTGGTGGGTTGTGTAACAGTGGTGGTCTTGCTGGAACTGTTGGACTGTGTAGTAAAGGTGGGAGTCACTGTGGAAACACAGGATTAAAGACACTGTTCTTGAGTAATTTCAGTAATTTCTGTATACTTAACTAATAATAATAAAAACTAGACTGAAATATGAGTTATTTAAACTGTGAGCTCACCTGTGTAGCAGAGGAACATGTACTTATTTGAACAATCTTCAGGAGTCAATTTTTCATCTCGAGACAGTTTAGTACAGTTCTTCATGGAGGAGAAATCATTAGTAGCCCAGTTCTGAAACGGTTCCTCACTGGACCACTTCCACACATCATTATCTCTCTTCAGTCCAATCCAGATGTTTATACCATTAGGAGCAATTTTATCAAACTCTTGTTGATCTTGTTTATTGGTGATACTTGCTAGTTCACCATTCTCACTTTTACAGGAATTACGAGCATTTTCCCATGTGGCACTCACTGACTTATATTCATACGTCTTAATCAGTATCCCACTTGTGTTTGTCACTGTTAAAAAAGAGACTCATTCAGTACAACTGAAATCTACATTTCCTTTTTAATATATTCATTTTGTGAATGAATGTACATATTTTGTGTTATTTCAGCATTATTAAACTACATATTATCTGACTTAAATGTTAAACTATTAATCATTCTCTTTATCTCAGTTTAAAACAGAATTAAGTTAATTATGATTTTACCTTTCTCACACATATATGTATAGTAGCCTGCACAAGTTACTGTCTGCCATATTCCTGAGTATGAGTAAGCACAATCATATCCAGATGTTGTGCCCCAGCCAGAATCCCAGTTAAAGTACATGAAGTCCTCTCCATTTGACCACTTCCATGCCCGATCTTTGTGAAGTCCAATCCACACTTCACTTGTTGATGACTCTACAGCTGCTAGTGCTTGTTTCCAGTCTCCCTGATTATAGATAACAGCCAGATCTGTGTAGTTTTGCTCACAGTGACTCTTAGCATCTGTCCAATTCTTCATCTCATTCACAAGATAGTAGGTCTTGTCTGAATATGAATCTGCTGAAGAATAGAAGAACCCAGATGTTACAGCCAAAACACAGAATGTACAGAGATGAGTGGAGTTACATAAAACAGTGCTTCTCAGTGTTTGTGCTGAGATCTAAATCTGGTTTGTGGTGTGTATGTATGTGGTATATGAGTCACAAGGCTGAGCAAATAAAAAAAGAATAAATACATGTAAAACAACCAGTTAGTGTTTTAATTAAATGGTAGTGCAGAAACAATGAGCTGTCTGTATTTTACATAATCCATTAGAGTATTTATGTAACTACAGCCTGAGACCCTTTTTTTCATTAACAGCTGAAATGCACTGTTCTGTAATAATAAAATATACCAGCCTTTCTTAAAATGTGAACACATCTTTTCAAACTGTAAAAATATCATTTTTATCGTGGTCAGTTCCACCTCTGCAGCACCCCTCTGGTTCAACTCTGCTACAGGTGCAGATGCACAATATGCAAATCAGTCAAACAACATTACTGCCCCTGTTGACGTCCTACTCATGCTGCTCTTATACATATGAAAGCATAGGACCCTGGAGCGAGATAACCACACTCACGTGCTGAGCTAAATACCCCCAGCACCACGTCACAAGGTTGCCATATTCCAGCTGTCTGTACCAACTGTAAATAACTCAATTAATCTAAGCTTAGTTTGTAATAAAAATGTAATAAAGATTAAAGACTGCTCAAGTGAGGATTCTTGCAAGTCATAAAGCTTCCAGTTAATGTTTCCTTTCACAAACTCAAAGCCTTTGGCGCGTGACTCACTGAACAGAAATCGCCAAGCAACACTGGAACTACAGAAAGCGAAACAGTTCAGGAAAGGTTAACATTAAATGGCCAATGTTACCGGCTGTGTCAACTTTTCGTCCGTACAGCCTTTCTCGAATTTTTTTCCCGCTTTCCGTAGTTCCAGTGTTGTTCTTGTCTCGTTCTAGAAGGAAACTGATTTTAAGATCCAGTAATAGACCAGAGAAGTTTAGAAATAAGAATTTGCATTTTCATCACTGTTTCTGATATTAATATTGGTGGTTGATATAAAAACAGGGTTGAAAATAAGATCTTAAGTACTTCATCTCACACTTTTAACTGTTTCACTTGTTTCAAACCTCTCAAATGTATAAGTCCATATAATTTACAAGCAAATGTTCATTCAGTGTGTCTTTTGTACATTTTATCACATCCAATCTGAGAAAGTCTGGAATGACTGGCAGAGTTTGATAGAATATTGTGATAGAAAACATGATCAAGCTTCACTGCCTTACAGAACACAGCAATTTATGTGAAAATGATTTTATATACATCTCTCTGTACAGCACTGTAACATTATTATGAACGCTAAACCACTTATGAATATTCCTATCATACCTGTCACCTGTTGAGAAAAAGTGAAAAATCAGAAGCACAAACAAACAAATAAAGTTTTAGAACCATAAATTGCCTGAAGCTTCTTTTATGACAGAGGAAACTGCAGCTGTTGGATAGAGACTCAGTATTCGTTGTTTTCATAACACAGTACATATTCTGATGCATATCTTTATCTGAATTCAGGACTGATAATCTACTGGTGAGAAGGTTTCCTCTGTGGGAAAAAAACTAATTAGTGTAAAATTGTGAATATTTATAAAAAGATATTGTAAATATGTCTTCATGTTATTGAATTCTGTATTAAATGATAGATTTAATAATAGATAAATGACAGTGCTGTGAAACTGAATTTACACAGCAGAGTAAAAATCTCTAATGAGGTTTGTTTTTCTACTACACAGTCAGATCTGTAGGAAATGTAATAATTAATCAGTAAATTATTCTGAGTGAAACTGAACTAAACAGACTGGGTTAAATGTGATTCTGTTATGATGGTTTGTGATGTGCTGTCATTTCTGTTACAGAATAAAAGTAAATGATCAGAAACAAAAACAAAATACAAATCTAAATATAAATAAAGTTATTTATTTATTTATTTATTATATAATTTACCTGGAATTTGAATTGTATCTGAAGAAGCTTGACCTGTTGAATAGAGAATCAGAATCAGTGTGTGATGGAACTTAATGCAGCCTCTCAAACCTGAAATGTGCAATTTCTGACTTCAATATTTAGAGGAGAAAAAAGGAAAGCTACAAATCACATATTTTTAAAATGTATTTATTTTTTTTATTTGGGAACCAAACACTTTTATGAGGAACAAGCACCTTATTTAAGGCTAACAAACAAGAAAAAAAACATCTGGTTGTACTCTGTATGGTGGTTCCAGTAAAAATGGAATTTTACCTATGAACTGTTGTTACACATATTGTATTTCATTGATTATACGCTGTAAAAATGGCTTTAGAGTCTTGAGCACAATAGTTTGTTATAGTGAACAGTCTTATTTCTACATTGTAATATACAAACCTAAGTACTGGATTCTCTCAGTATCAAAGGCAGTGTATTCATCATCATTTAATCATTTATTCATCAATGTAGTATTGTTTATTTATTAGTTCATTTAATCTAACTGTATTCTTCCCCAGCTGATCTGACGATACACATAAATCCAAACTCGACTGCAGCTGTTTGTTTTCCCAGTTTTCCAAGATAACATCTCAAATACTCAGCTGAGTGTACAGACAGGTTTGAGCAGGGACGCAGGACAGTGTTTTAAGTTAGGGGTACTAAAATTTTAAGCAGCGTGACGGGCCGATATTGTAATTCGGGATAATTTGCCATTTTTCATTTGATTTTTTTTTTCTTTTTTCTAATTTACATGCAACTAAGCGTGTCATACAGTTTTATGTTGAGGCGGGAAAGGATGATATATACACATAACTGACACATCAAACCACTGACGCACATCAGTGCTCAGCTCTCTCCTTCTGAATTAACTTTATGCAAATGAGCTCAGCAGCGAGCAATCAGACTGATGATATGTGGTGCAGTTTTTCATTTGAGAGACACTTACAAATCAGACGCATTAAAAAATGTAATAAGAATAAATGTAATAATATAAAACTGAAATAATATTAACAGACAGTAAATAATTTACAGATTACTTATTTAAACTGTTCTTTTCAATCCTGACAAACACCCAGGGTGTTTGCATGTTTTCTGATCTTGTATTGATTTTGTATGATTCAGTATTGTCTACATTTAAGGTAGATTGTAGTGAATCACACAGATATAAAAGAAGCAATTTTATATTTAGACCAGTGGTGTCTAAGTTAACATGTTAAGAACACATTAATGCAATAAATGTTTAACACTACAAACTTTTTTTAAAAAAGTTTTTTAACACTTCAGTCCATCCACAGTTCCAGCTGTATGTTGCTGTTCAGATACAGCTTTTAAATGGTTTTTATTGGCGGCTCTCTTGATAAAACCTTCCTAGGAACGTTTCTAAACGTTATTTCCAGCTACTGGTGAATTTGTTTATCACTGAAGGACATCAACTCTGAAGTATCATTTACAAGTAAAACACAGCGCTGATGTCAGAAGCAATAAATATAAAAACTTTAGGACTGGTGGACGCCTTGAGCAGACCACATCAGACAGTGCTCTTGGGTGAGCTGATAAATCAGTGAATGTGTGCTAGGTCTCTTCAGTGGTGCTGCTCTGTGAGCTACATTCTGAACCAGGCTATGTGATGCTAAGATGAGTTAACTGTCAAAAATTAGTCAACTAAAATCATACTGACTCATCACTTTCACTAACCACTAATCAGCTTTCTGATGATTAGATTCATTTGTAATCTGTAGAGATGGCAGCCTAAACTATTAACTTCTATAGCCTGTCTATGTGGAATGTTCTTCTTAAAGTTGATGTTGGGCACTGCATTTAATTTACTTTATTCAAATTCATTATTTCCTCATGAATGAGTAAAACATGTTACGTCAACAGAGTTTTGTCTTTCAGTTTACTTTTGGCAATTGCTGTATTGATATAACATTTTATTCATGTGGAAATGATGCACAGATTTAGAGGAAAAAACAACACATCACTTTTTATGTTATTTTAATGCAGAAAG